ATCGATTTGCCAATACTGACTCATGAATATATCCATCATTTTGTCATGATAATAGAGGTATTTATCAATGACAAAGTTCATTTTTAAATTTAAGGTAAAAAAAAAAAAGATTGTTATGGAGTTAAGATCATAATTCTGGAAATGCAGACTAAAATATTAAAAGTGGAGCAGTCTAATTCTGAAGTTCCCTGCATCTGCAGATATCATTCCCTAAGCCATAATTCTCCAACAGAGGCTCTGATGTTAGTGAAACCGACACTCTATCGTTTTTACTATGTAAACACATTTCTGTTTTAAGACGATGTGCTAAGTTTCCACTTTGCCAGTGCCTTAATGTGGTGATGGCCATTTAATTTGAGCTGGCAGCAGAGCTCAAGTACGGAATTTAGGGATTGGGTCAACTCCAGCCTGAGCAGACTTCTTTGGCTTATGGCTACAGAGAATTCTTGGAGCCTCCTTAGTTCTAAAGGAAGTCATTTTGTCAAATTAAGGAGGCTGTAGTCTCTCTGTGCTGCTTCTTTTTATCAAAAGTTTAATCTTTAAAGCATGCTCTTTTATTTTCTTAGCTTTGTGTTGGTAGGGCAGTGACCATTAATGTAAGCAAACTCAATAACTGGTAGATTCTAACTGCTTAGCATCTCCTTTCTCTGTTCTCAACCTCTAACCCATCCTTTGTGGAATGTTCAAAAAGAATTTTCCTTCTTTCTTTCTTTCTTTTTTTCTTTCTTTTTTTTCTTTCTTTCTTTCCTTTCTTTCTTTCTTTCTTTCTTTCTTTTTTCCTTCTTTCTTTCTTTCTTTTTTTTTTTGTACTAGGTATAGAGCCCAGAGGGGCCTAACCACAGAGCCACATTCCCAGCCCTTCCAAAAGAATTTTCTAAAATTTAAATCCCTGCCTGTCCATTCACTTAAAATCCCTCAATAACACTTCCTCGCCACCTACCACAGCTTTCAGAATAACATCTAAATCCCATGGCTTGGCATTCCAGATCCTTCTAAGACTAACTCATGCTTAACTTGCCTCCTTCCACTTGGCCACGCTCACAACTGCTGCCAACAGCAGCAAATATTCATAATGACTCAAAAGTGTCAAGCGCTTCATGCCTTTGTGCCTGTGCTTCTCAGAGCCCCTTTACTCTTTTCTTCATTCTACCAACTCCTACCTTTGCAGCTCAGATGACCTCCCTCAGGATGCTCCTCCTGATGACCAGTCAGACGATGATGTCCCTCTGTGTCCTGACTCATTCATTGCACCGTCAGCATCGGTTTTCTTTCTGAAGCCCCCATCCCCTGCAGTCTCAGTGAGAATTAATTTGGGGAATTAATTTTTTTTTATTAGCTACACACATGACATTACAATGATCTTGGAAATTCATACATTTGAATCATTGGGGTATTATTTCTCGTTTTTCTGATTGTACATATTGCAGCATCACACTGGTCATAGAGTCATCTATATACATAAATCCCTATTTTTATACACAAATCCCAATTTCTAACACCATGCTTAGTACAAAAAGGGGCACTCAAATAAATATCAACTTAATGAATTGAATGAATGCCTTTATCTTTGATCATTTGGTTATCATAACTTGTAGATGAGGCAGTGGAATTTGCTCCCTGAAAGTTACATTTTCATAGAGTGTCCAAGTGTTTCTCCTTATCTCTCCACCCCCATTCTCTCTCACCCTCTAAAGTAGCTTAGTGAGACATCTAGCTGAACAAGAATATAATCCTCTGATTCTGAGGTACAGCTTCTGTCGGGAAGACACCACTGTCTTCTGGTTGAAGGAACCTCCTCCAAGCTCCTGTGCTTAGCAATTGTGACAAGCTACTAAGATCTTTTCCTCACTAAGGTTGCCTCCACTACAATGCACCAGCCTGATGGCAGTTCTTCCCCTCCTTTCCTCTTTGCAAACCTGACATCTAGAACTGTACAGATAGACATTTTTAGGGCTAGAGTGGTATAGATGGCAGAAGGCCACCAACTTCTACACAATTTTATTTAAAGACAGGCTCTCACTGAGTTGCTTAGCACCTCACAGCTACAGGGGTACTTCAGACTCTTGAGTCATTCATTGATCCTGGATTAAGATCTTGAGGTCCTCTCTAGACATGCCCCTCAATTTCTCCCTTGACCCTGAAATGCACCATCTGTCTTCTTCTGAACTCTTGGAATATGTCTAAGTCATAGCCTTTAGCCTCCATGTTTATTACCTTGTGTAATCTTACCTAACCCAGGAACTGGCACAGAATGTGTACTCAATCTGTATACAGTAGCACACAAAGGAATCCTCTGCAAACCATCTTCTGCTCTTGCCATTATAGAGAAACTGCCTTCATGGTGCTAATCAATGACCTTCCCAAGTCAGATTCAGTGCCAGGGCTGAACTCCACCTTACCTAACAAAGTGATTTCGCAGGATTGTCTCCAAACCTCTGAAAAAGATCATCCTCTGACTTCCATGGCATTGCACTCTCTGATCTTTTCTGAGGCCTCTTCTCAGACCCTTTGTTGACATCTCTTTCTTCTCCACTTTCTCTTAAACCCTTTCCTCTGCTCTTTTCTTATACACCTGATCTTGGAAACCTCTCCACACTCAAAACCCTCCAGTCTCTATTTCCATTCCTAAACTACAAAACTCCCATCTCATTCTCTCCTGAATTAATTTGTGAATACCTTATGTGTATGACAAAAACAAAACTCATTAAGCTGGGTGTGGTGGTGCATGCCTATAATCCCAGCAGCTCAGAAGGCTGAGACAGGAGGATGGCAGATTTGAAACCAACCTCAGCAATTTAGTGCTAAACAACTCAGGGAGAGCCTGTCTCAAAACAAAAAATAAAAAGGACTGGGGAGCTGGGCACGTTGGCACACGCTTGTAATCCTAGCAGCTTGGGAGGCTGAGAAGAAGGATCACAAGTTCAAAGCCAGCCACGGTAAAAGTGAGGTGCTAAGCAACTCAGTGAGACCCTGTCTCTAAATAAAATAGGGCAGGAGATGTGGCTCAGTGGTCAAGTGCCCCTGAGTTCAATCCCTGGTACATCCCCCCCACACACACACACACACAAAAAAGGACTAGGGATATGGCTCAGTTCAATCCCTGGCATACACACAAACACACACACACACACACAAACACACACACACAAAAAACAACTCACTATTCCACCCAGCCAGCTCAACCTCCATGCTTTGCTATTTGGGCTTGCATCCAGTGTCTGCTTTCCACCAAGTGCTGAAGTGCCTCATTTTAAACATTACTGGGATTTGCCGCTTGTTTCCCCTACCTTCATCCACTGCGTAGGCTATCACCACAGCCTGCAGAACAAGCAAAACACTTCAGCAATCACCATGAGTCAGACACTATCCTAAGTCCTTTACATACTTTATCCACTTTAATCTTGAGTAGATAAAGTTTATATCACTCTCACGTCTGCCTTATGGCAGGAGAAAATGAGGCTTATCCTCTCCAGAGATTAAGTGACTGAGCCACACCATATTGGTGTTACCAGTTTGACTCCAGAACGTCTGGTGCCATAACCCACTGAGCCACATTGCTTCCTCCAAGGCTCTCTGGTTCCTCTTTCTTTTCTTCTTTAATGTATCCTGTGCATCACGGCCACCAGAAAAATACTCTTTTAACAGGGCATCATTTTATGAGTCTCTAGCTCATAGAAGAAGGAGACCTACTGGCTTGGTATTGCAGTATGAGCTTGCACTGGCCGCCTGTCACCTTGCCCTCATTTAGATTTGTCAAATTGCTCAGAATCTCTTCTCCAGTCCTGTTGTTATCTCTGAGATCCAATGGTCATCTTGATTTCAGTATCACCTGTACTTTCAGAGGAGAATTACTCCCTTTCCCAACCCCATTTCTGGAGCCTTTGAGGTCCAGACCAGCCTCCTGTGTCTCAGGCCAGACTAGTGTTGCACTGAGATTAAGTTTCCAACACAAGAACTTTGGGGACCCATTTAAACCATAGCAGAATCAAAAGAGAATCTTCCCCCCCAAACAAATTCTCATTCTTAGAAGACAGAACCAGCTTGTGCAGCTGTCTAGGTGACATTAGCTACCTTGAAAGAAAGTTTTAGACAGTTGATCCCTATATGTCACCACTTTATAATATATGTATGTTAGCCCTGTTTCCTGAACAAAACCATAAATTACTAGAGGCAGGCTCTTACTTGTCTCCCCTTTAGCATCTATAATCTATCAAGCAAATAGCAAGTACTCGTAAGGAAATCCTCCCTGATTAACTCACTGGTAATTTTCAAAGCAGAAACTCTATAATCAAACGTTGATTATTCTGGTGTGTTTATGTGAAACCAAAGAAACGATTTTAAGATGAGAAAATTATTTCCCTCATTTTGTTCACATAAAATAAGCAAAGATTTCCTTGAATTTTCAAAGCATAGTACTAGAATCTTCTGTGCTGGAGGCATCATTTAGAACACTAGAATTTAAGAGGCATACTTGAGAGGATTAAAAATCTCCAACAACATCAAACAGGACAGTGGTGGTTGTGATTTCACACAGCAAATTTAGAAGAAAATGTCCCAGTTCCCGAAGTACTGTCCTGTGTTGCTATGTGAGCAGAACTGTTTGCTCTTCTTACCTCACTTGCTTATACTGTCATGAATTTAAATTATAATGTGTTCTGGTAAACACTTTGGCACTGACTGTATTGTAATGCTAGGCCTCTTATTTCCTGCCCCACGTTGAATCCCATTCTCTACCACAAAGAGCTCAAAGCACATAGCTCAGGGTTCTATCTTACAAACACTATTGTGGCAGTATAGAACCACAATTCCTGCAAAAATAAATTTAACATGTGGAGCAAATTTGGGGGGGCATATTCATAAAGGTTCAACTACATCAGGTCTCAAATTTGGGCCAAAACTATAATGTGGGTTCAAGATCATTATATAAAAAGTGTATATATAATCCTGAAAAGTGTGACTTGAATAATTTATAGTCTTCTAAGAATTTTTCTTTCCTACAGTGACCAAAAATGAAGAAGTGAAAATAATCATGGTGAAACACTACAGAATAGGTTTAGATGAAAAATATGAAGTAACAAAAAAGTGGTCTTTGAATGATCTGCAGATGATTGATGGAAAAGAAGCAGACACTGTAAGTATTATGTTTCATAAGGGAGATGTGAGATCAATATGCTGGTGATCTTTATGCTCAATGTCCTACATCATATATTCTTGTCATGTACTAAGTGTTAAAATGACATATTGTTCTTAAGTGGTATGGATTAATTTCCTGTGATCTACTTTTTTGTTTTGCTTTTATGAGTTTGAATTTGAGTTTTGTCTATTAAATTTAAAAGCATCTTTCCCAAGGTCCTCTTAACAGAGTAAACCAGTCAGTCAGGCCTAAAACTCTGAATGCCATTTTCCCAAACATATTACGTTTCCACCATCACTTTCTCCAATTTCTTCTGCAGGTTTTAAGGATTCCTTCCCTCTGTCAGCAAGCCGCCTTCATCCTGCAGAAGGACCATAGTGCTTGGAAATCCTAGAATCTTAGAGTTGAAAGACAAGAAAGATTCTCCCCTCTTGTCCACTTAACTAGTCATTTTCCCAGTCTGTTTCTAGAGTCTTCTGGAGAGGAAGAGTTCATCCTGTCCCTGAACTTTATATACCCACAATGCCTAACTAAGTACTGACTCCTGAAGTTTACAATGCCCAATCCCTCCCAGCTCTTAACCCCATTTCCAGATTTCCCATTAGGTGAAGTCCTACTCATGACTCCCCACCTGGTGCACCTATTCATTGTGTATGTAAATATGTTGAGGCCATAACCCTACAAACTGCAGTTATTGTATCACTCTAACTCACCTTTGAATGGAAAGCCCCTTCTAAAGTTTGAGACCAGGTCATAGCCTTCTACCTGTTAGACATCAGGCACTCAATAAAACTCATTTTTTTCTTTTTCTTTTT